GTGGAAGTTTCATAGATTTGGCTAAAATTTTGCTAGATTTTGCCCTTTGAAAACTGGGGACCTGCTGTAGGTGATGGAAGTTTCGCTAACAAGCTTCAGTGTAATCAGGTTTTAATTCAGGGTAAGACTCTGCCCTCCTTAGAAAAGCACCATTGTTAAACACCCTCCAAAAAGTCCAGCTCAGAAGTCAGTGTTCAAAAATATTCCCAAGACAAGTGTTCCGACATTACAGTTCTTTATTTGTTTTTGAATCCACAATCTATACAGATATTTACAAGGCATGAAAATGGATAACAGCACAAAATACAATTGAGGTATAAGCTAAGAGCACAGTATGTCATGTTTCAATAAATAGAATTCAAAATTTGTAAACTAAGTGACCAGATAGATGCATCTTGTTTACTAAAACCATATAAAATATCTGTTAAATCTCACGTGAGGTAGAGGACAGTTTTGTGTGTCATGTAATGCAACCACAGCAACTCTTTTTAACAATGAGACTGTACATCATTGGCAAAGTATGAAAAATTGTTGAATGCACAGATCGTTTTTCATGGGCTTTTACCAGGGTTTCAGAATAGTCACTCAACCCCTTGCCTGGAGCTAACACGGACTCGGTTGTTTGGCAGCTACTTTCTGTAATTTGAGATAATTCTACTGGCATGTCAACATCAATAAATACTTTTGAGAGTGAGTATGAAAACACAAAAACAGATTGTGTCCATCACAGAAAGCAACATAATGGCAACAAAATATTTTAGACCAACTTTTTATTTATTTCCTAGAATTAGTTTAAGTACAGTACAGCTGTGCTTTCCTTTTAAGTGAGGTATCTATATTTGAAGACAAAAAATTCAATTGATAGTTACATTTAATCAATTTTCAAATAGCAAAATTTTATACCATTTGTTTGCTGTGCTTGATGAAGTGCTTAAAACTTGTTTTTTCAAGCATTTCCAACTGAACCACTAACCCTGAAAAAAAAAACCAAACAATTTTCCAAGTAATGGAGACACACTACAAAATCGTTGTGCAATTTTAGCACAGAAGTTAGAAAAGGGATGTCTTTTTGAAATACAAATATGCGACAAATAGAAAATTCTACAAGCTTTCTGAAATGCAGACTGGTGAATACTCGCACAACAAAGGGAATGAGCAAAAAGAAAACTGAAATATGCAGCTTTCTGCTGCTTACTAGTGACAGCTTAAAGGAAATTACTGAAATATTGCAAGCACAGACTAACAGGTAGGTGTAATCATGTCTTTTGTCGACTTCACTATGTTATAGAAAACTCTGTTGTGTGGATTAATTACACAAATTAAGTGCAGAAAAAAAATACCAAGTTGTTATCTTTACTGACAATCAAAATATATACTCTACAAACAAGTGAATTCTAGGAAGCTGACCACGACAGCGTTTCAAGGCCAACTTCACACCTAATGCTAGGAAAGTTTTCCAAATATTTCATAACACATTCTAGCTATCCCCTTCCCCGATACAAAACAAGAATGTATGAATAAAACCTTGTGACTTCTAAAATATGGGCCAAGCCTTATTTTTTCAGGCCACCAGTAGCTTTATACTCCCACTCAACTTTTCCTACTTCACTAATTGCATTATGCCTTTACTATATACAGATGATTTTACACCTAAGCTATCAATATATTAAATATAGAATAAAATTAGTTTAAGAATGTGAAACATAACTACATTTATCTAAAACTAAACAATATGATTTACAAAAACTAAAACATAGACTTAGTTAACTTTGGAGATTTAGATAAAAATCTCTTTTGTTTAGGGTTACACTGCTTTCAGACTGCCAAAATTACAAGAGTTTTACTCTCTAAGTTCTTAGATTTTCTTGTTGATTAGAGTACACAAAGCCTGTGAAAATTCTCTTTTAAAAAAGTATAGAAGCAAATTAGATATTCACCTTGAATGTGAAAGTTCTCTTTTAAAAAAGTAGAGAAGCAAACTAGATATTCAGCTTGAATACTACTGAACGTTCCAAGAGGTGCACAAGGCAATTTTGATCTTGCTCTAGGTGTTTAATAATGCAACTTTCAAAACTATGGACAATTTTAGGATTTTTTTTTCCTTACAAGCTTCCTGTCATCACTAGTTGGGAAAATGACCTCCTGCCTGAAAGATCAGCAAGCAAGAACTGAAAAAAATAATAATACATAAAATGAGCATGCTATGATTAAAAGTGAAGACCTAATGACAGAAACAGTTTCTACCATTAAATGTGCACTTAAGCGACGGCCCTTACGTGTGCATTCCAAATTCCTATATTAGACTGTAAAATAAACCATTCAATATAACTAGCATAAGGTAGTGAAAAAAGGTCAACATATATTTGTTCTAGAACTTATACAGTGCTATTTACAATTTACTAAAAAACTATCTTTCAAAGACTATGAACACACAAAATCTATGGCACATTTTATGTATACATTATTACTTAAAATCAGTATAAAATTAAGTCTACACATATGAAAATTATTTATGTCATGTAAAGAGCCTGAAAGTAATATTTAAGAATTTTAAGAGCATTACAATAATTTAAAATGCATCCTAACTTTAGATTAACTAAATGGAATATTTACAAAGCTACTTTTAAAGTCATTTAAAAATCAACGTTCCACTAGCTTTTTCAGCCAGATGTTTTAAAACAATTAGGAGGCCTTCTCTGCAGCTGGGATTGCTGACACTTCATAGAGCTGCTTGGGTTCTCACACTGGTGAAAATATCAGTACCAACTATGGCCACCAGCATTTTAAGAGCCTAGAGCACAAGGCAGTTACCAGCTGGTTGAGAGATGGCTGAAGTGCTGGTTGAGGCACAGGAACCCAGGCTACACTAGTACTCCAGATCAACCAGCAGCAAGAGGGGAAATTGGAGCAGAAGTCACGTTAACGTAGACAAGACCGGAATGAAAATGGAATATATGGTATTGGAATATAGTCATCCCATGAGGATTCCATACATTCAACGGCTAAGCTGTAAATACTGTGGTAAATTAGTGACTGCAGCTGTATTAAACGAGTCTGTACAGCCTTATCTACACTGACAATCGACCAAGGCTGGTCCAAAACACTGAAACAGAAAAGCAACTAGAAACGGTATCTTTTCATCCTTTTATATTACCCTGATGAAACTTTTCAGTTTCCCAGGATGGTGCTTTCTTACTTGCCCATCGAGCTAATCCAACGTAGGTTCTGCCAACCAAGCTGGACTACTTCAAGCTCCAGTGCCTACTAATCACACTTTTACCAATATTCCTGCCTGCTCTCCCTACAGCCACGATTTTGGTGGTTGTTACAATAAAACATTCATCGTGTTTTTAAACCAAGTGGTGCGTACAACAATCAGAATCATTTATACTCAACATCTTTCCTCCCAAACCACCACTAAGCTGCAAAGACAGGCTTTTTTCTTTTCTTGCTTTTCTTTAAAGCGATAATTTGGAACTGGAGTTGAAGAAGGGAAAAATGTAATCTGGGTCCAACACTGACAAAAAAAAAAAGGTTTGATTTTTTTCATCTAAACTGCTTTAATCGTCAGTGTAAATATGACACAGAGTCCATAAACAACATTACACACAGCTATAAAAGAATCACGACTCCATGACATTTAATTTACCACCTCATTTCTCATTCAATTTAAAGATATGTGCAATTCTATCTTTCTCTGCGATACTCAGTCCTGTTATACCACTAAAAAAAGAACTAAAAAAGAGCTCTGAAGTTTTCAGTTTTACTAGTTCAGGAAAAAATAAAAATAAAAATAATTGATGTAGGCTTTTTACTAGTGGTTTCATCCAGAATTAACTGAATTATTAAGAGAATAATAAACCCAAGCATCTCAAAAACAGAAGCTAAAGCCCAGGTTAAAATTATGTAGTGAAATACTAGAACTACTAAAATATTCCCAGTCACTGACATAATCAGCTAACACCTGTCAGCTGTATCGAACTTTTTTGGAGAGAAGTGCAAAAAAAGTATTTCTTCATCCAACTTGTAGTCATGCGTTTCATCCACTAGGAACCAGACTTCTGAAGTACTCAAACATTATATATACACGTAACAAACAGTAATTCTGTACAATTACACATTTTCAAATGTTATAGCTTAACAAACATGCTGTATTTCTTAATTCATGGTAACGTTACCATGCCATTCAAATACAGAGACTATCAAAATGATTTTCAAAGTGCCATTATCTCAGAATTTTATCTTTTAAGCTATTCTCACAATGTCAGTTAAGGCCTGTCCTATGTAACGAAAGAAAAATCCACAAGTTGGCAAGAAGCTCAAAGTGTGGAGGCTTAGGGCACTAAAGAAACTAACACTTTTTTTTTTAATAAATATTATTTTTCTTGAAAGCATTCATATCTGAAAATCAGTTAAGCCAAGCTTTCACAGTTTCTAGGAGGAAAAGCCCCACCTTTAAGCCTTTTACTAACGTTTCTTTCACACTTACTATATAGAAGAGAACAAAAGAAAATATGCAAATTTTTCATTTCCAAAGATTTCACTGTAATCATAATTTTTTTTTTAATTTACAAAAAAACCCCTAAAGTTTTCCTCTTCCAGCATAGCAAGCAAATGCTGGCTCTAAAACTCTCTAGATATTGATAACAAGCTGTTAAATAGAAATACTGAAGAGATCAGCGTGACTTCACATCATGAAATTACGGGGAAAATTCACGCTGCTAAATAATTTCTGATGATCAATCATCTATCATCGTGGCAATTTTGAGTATTACTTTACAGACAAAAAGCTGCTTTTACTTTCTCCAGTTTGAGAACACGTAATTCTCACTGAAACCCAAACTATTTTTGACCTTGAAGAATTCAGAAATTTTTTTTAATGTACTTTTATAAATGGATGTGCAATTGATAGCAAAATAAAGTTCACCACATACATTTTAACAGACAATGTTAAAAGGTAGAGAGTCCTCAAGACTGCATTAGAAATAGACAGAAACTGGTCACTCTAAATGAAGAGTTTCATATTTTTCATTGTTTGAGAAAAACACCAGTACAAAGAAATGCAGATTTTCATTGGTTAGGAAAATCTAAAAATGTATACCTATCTATCTCTCTCTATTTATATATATGTATATCTTCATCTGGCCTTGTCTGGGAAATAGAAATCTGTAGAGAATACTTTTTCTTATCACACAGAAACTGCACACAATCCATTAAAAACCAAAACACCCTGTTTGAAGGACGCAGTCACGCTTCCTCTTCCAATTTCTATTTTCCTTTTCCATTTTTTGACGATTTCAAGATCTGTAGCTTCAATTCCTTTATCATCATCTCTAACTTTTCCCTTGCCTCTCGTTCTTGTCTCAGTTCATCTTGAAGCTCCTGTCTATCTGCCTCTGCATGATCCAACCTCTGTCTCAATTCCGCTAGCTGTAAAATAGAGAGAGGAGAGACAGAGAGGTAGAGCAAATTTTAGCAAACTTGTTTGTACATGTTTCATTTCAAGACACCGCTGATGAACACACTATGTATGCATCAATTAAAAATTCTCTATTCACCAGTATTTGATAATTCTAGCAGATAAGGTGATAAGAGAAAGAACAGCCTGGGCAACTGCTTCACTGTATTAAAGCTTTTTTTAAATGCTGGATACACAGCTTGGGGAAGTTACCTGCTTAACTTGGGTGCTTCTTACAACTGCTTGGAACCCAGGGACCAAAATCCATTGTAAGATGTGATATATGGAGAAAAAGGTTTAAATTATATATTGGTGGTGGATGAGAAGCTGAACATGAGCAGACAATGTGCGCTTGCAGCCCAGAGGCCAATAACCGTATCCTGGGCTGCACCCAGAGCAGCGTGGGCAGCAGGTCGAGGGAGGTGATTCTCCCCCTCTACTCCGCTCTTGTAAGGCCCCACCTGCAGTGCTGCGTCCAGTTCTGGAGCCCCCAACACAAGAGAGACCTGGAGCAGCTGGAACGAGTCCAGAGGAGGCCACCATGATAATGTGAGGGCTGGAGCAGCTCTGCTGTGAGGACAGGCTGAGAGAGTTGGGGCTGTTCAGCCTGGAGAAGAGAAGGCTCCAGGGAGATCTTATAGTGGCCTCCCAGTACCTGAAGGGGCTACAAGAAAGCTGGGGAAAGACTTTTCATAAGGGCAGTTAATGACAAAATAAGGGCAAATGGGTTTAAGCTGAAAGAGGGGAGGTTTAGATGAGATATTAGGAAGAAGTTCTTCACTGTGAGGGTGGTCAGACACTGGAACAGGTTGCCCAGGCTGCTCCTCCCTGGAAGTGTTCAGGGCCAGGTTGGATGAGGTTTTGAGCAACCTGGTCTAGTGGAAGGTGTCCCTGCTGATGGCAGGGGGGTTGGAACTGGATGAGCTTTAAGGTCCCTTCCAATCCAAACCATTCCATGATTCTATGATATATTGTGAATAGCTCTACCACAGAGGCAGTAACAGAGTAAACTTTAATGCAAGGAACTTATTAAAAGTTTTCAAAGTCTGACTTCAAAAGAAACAGTCAGCCAATCTCCTTGGGGAACAATCTACGGTTTTTACCCTCTAAAGAAAGTAAGCTACACCAGCCTTATAAAACATGTTATACATTATTATCTTCATAAATTACAACATGTTGTTACTTGCAGTAATAGGGCTTGTACCAGATGTTTAGTAAATCAGGCCTTAGTCAGAGAGGATTATTTCTGGCAGCAAAGGCTAAGAATCTGTGGAGAGGGATGTCATGAAATTAAATCCATGACAAGGATTTATGATGCTAGTCACTGCCCTACTCCCCGAAAATACCCAAACCTGTCTCTCAAGTACTGCCTGTTTCTCAGTTTGAGACACTAAGAACAGGAAATACACACAGCTATGATCAAATGACTGCAAAGCTTTACTGAGCTTAAGTTTCAGATTTTGTTTACTTTAAAAAAACCTGTGAAGACTAGTTTTCTGTGACACAGTACCAAACACATCAATATAAAGTTAATTGTAACTGCAACCAATTTTCAAAGGGGGCATTCCAAAGCTCCCTTTGGCATTAACTGGATTTTTTCCCCATTGGAATGACATGAATAACTTCCAAAATGAAGAAAGCAATAGTAAAAGTTAAAAAGAAAGGAAAAAATATCTCCATAGGTTTTGACATATGAACTCAAGAGGCAGGAATGGAAGACAAAAATATGATTTTCATTTCAGGGGAACTCTTGACCAAATGCTTTGATTGAGCATAGAAGGGGGCTCAGCAGACAGTGCAGAAGATTCTACCACCAGTGAACAGAAGAAGCAGCAAGGAATGCTACTAACCTGACAGAAAGGTGGTTGAACTTTTGGATTATTTTTTTTTTAACCATAAAAGGAAGAAAAGGATTAATAGCTTATTTCTGTAACTAACATTTGACAGGTGAATCATAGAATCATAGAATGGTTTGGGTTGGAAGGGACCTTAAAGATCATCCAGTTCCAACCCCCCTGCCAGCAGCAGGGACACCTTCCACTAGACCAGGTTGCTCAAAGCCTCATCCAACCTGGCCTTGAATACTTCCAGGGAGGAGCAGCCACAGCTTCTCTGGGCAACCTGTTCCAGTGTCTCACCACCCTCACAGGGAAGAACTTCTTCCTAATATCTCATCTAAACCTCCCCTCTTTCAGCTTAAACCCATTTCCCCTTGTTTTGTCATTAACTGCCCTTATGAAAAGTCCTTCCCCAGCTTTCTTGTAGCCCCTTCAGGTACTGGGAGGCCGCTATAAGATCTCCCCAGTGAAGTGTTTCTGTAAGTTGCATTCTACCTCAGTTTCAACCAAGGAACAGGGAAATAAGCATTGCTGTCACTGTGACCTATTTCGGTATTAGAACACACGGAAAAGATGAAACTTGGAGGTGGCAGAGAAAATTACAATTTCCTGATACACTAAATATGGTTTGGTTTGAAACAAACTTTCCCTTCTCACCTGTGCTGCATATTCAGCTTCTTTGTCTTTTTCTAAATTGGAGTCACAGCTGCACTTTTGCTTCATCACTTGGTCCAGTTTCTTCTCCAAGTCTCTCTGCTCAAAATAAAATTCTTCCATTCTTTGAGCATGCTCTGTTTGCAAACATTCAAGTTCTTTTTGTAAATTCTGCTGCTCTTCAGTTAATTCCTTCATAGCTTTAGAGTTGCTTAACATTTCCACTTCCTGCCAAGAAAAATCAGGATCACATACACCTTGATTCTAAGACCAGAAAGTAAAAAACTAAATTTAAATGTGTATCTGGAAACAATGAGGTCAAAAAGAGCACATTTATCTACCAATATAATTTATACCAATAGCCTGATAATAGTATTTATAATTACAAGATAATAGTATTTGTCTACTCATCAATGGTATCCTTGAATTCTGTAGCAAGAACTTCAATATAAAGAAATTATTTATACTTTTAAGTACATGGAGCTTTCAGAAATAGATTCATAACTTCCAGCAGTAAACCTCAGAAAGCAGCAGCACTGATTTACTAAAATATACTTTGAAGATGAAAGAAGTGTCCTATCAAAAACCAGATAAATGTGCTTGATTTTTTTTTTCCCACTAGCATTTTGGTATTTTTTAAAGTCTTAATTTTTTTTTTTTTTTAACTTACCTATAAGCTTTACCTCCAACAGCAAAACAACTTAAAAGTAGCAGCTCTAGGGCCCTATCTGAGCTTATAGATTCTGAGCTTAACATAAAATAAAATAAAATAAAATAAAAT